GGGCGGCTCGGGACGGGCCGCGGGACGCGAGCGCGCGCGGCCCGGCCCGGTGCGAGCCCGCGCCGCGTTGGAGTCGACTCTTCGCCCTCCGGGGCGCGGGAAAGGACTCGCGGCGCCTCCCGGAGCCCCGGCTTCGCGTGGACGGCCGCACGGGGAATGGGTTGAGGGCCACGTGGTGTCGAGGCTTTCGTGGCGCGGGGCCGAAGGGACTGGCCGGATTACGTGGCTGGTTCGGTGCATCTCTGCGGGTGGCAGGCCTCATGCCACTCCGAGGTGGCGAGTCCTCGAGGACCCTTCCTACGGCTGAGGCATGCGTGCTTCAGGCTTCCCATCCAGCTATGGAGGAAAGAAAGGGTGCCCTCCACCCTAATGAAAACCCTCCCTTGCCCTTAACTACCCTGCCCATTGCATTTCAAAGCGAAGCCCCTCTGTGTAGCCCTCTAACTTGCACCCAAGATCCAGTGAGCCTGTCGTGCTATTGCTGTTGTAGAGTCCAAGACTTCTTTGCCCTGGTCTGTAACGCCAGCAGCTATGACTCAAATCGGAGCAGAGACTTGAATAAGGTTGAATAATGAGTCTCTTCTGCAGTCATCTGACTGAGGGTGAATTCAGCAACATGGAGAGTGCCAATATCTACCCCTGCCAAGCAGAGGAGCAAATGGTCAAGAGACCTTGGAAACTTTACAACACATAGAAAGTGCTACAAAACTGAGACTTACTGGTACTATTGGGACTTGATACGGAAGAAGCACATTTTCATTATCTACTTCGCCTGGTCATTCTTAAAACTGCCGGTGATGACTAAAAAGACAGTCTTAAGATTAAAAAAACGGAAGCCCGATATAGGAGTGCAAACGCATTTTTTTTTGTGGCCAGAGTTTCCTAACAAAAAGCAATTAGTTCAAGTAACTCCTTTAAAAGGATGGTCTCCAACCCTCTTAAAACCATGCAAAAAAAAAAAAAAAGGATAAACAATGTAGAAAATGACTTCTGCTTTTCTGTTCCAGAAATGACATCATAGGTCAGTACTTCTGTTTCAAAACAAGGTTGAACCAAATGAAGGTTCTGTTTCTGTTTTATTTTTTTTTCTCTGTATTAGTTTTATACGACTCTGGGCTGTTGTATAGTAGGGCTCCTTAAGTTTCTGTGACTGAGGTATAAAGTACCTGGTCCTTTGCTTGCAAATTCTTTCAGGAACACAGAAATCCAATAATACAGCTGCTTTTTTTTTTTTTTGTTGGGGGGGGGTTGTTACCGTTTTTCAAGACAGGGTTTCTCTGTGTAGCCCTGACTTCCCTGGAACTCACTCTGTAGACCAGGCTGACATGGTCTCAAAGATTCACCTGCCTCTGCCTCCCGAGTGCTGTGATCAAAGGCATGCTAAAAGCTACTGGGAAATTTAAAGTTGCCTCATGAAATATTGTCTTATGATTGCTGACACATACCTTGCATCCTGTTGGTTATGTAATCAAGTTTTAACCTTTAATCCATATTACAAAGGTGTTCTAAAAATACACACATCATGTTGCATAAAAATGCCGGAGACACTTGACACACCAAACACAAAGACTTTTCTGGATAAAGCATACCCAACAGGCTGGCTTGGGCTAGGTTGTTCTAGTATATGTATTTAACCAAAATTACTACTGTGAGCTTTGTATCCAAGTGTCCTTCAAAAGATTAGCCATAAAATAAGCAGTATGGTTGTATTTCCATCATCATCTTGGAGCAAGGATTCTGATTCAGCCACTATCGAGAACTATGACTGTCATTAGAACTCCTAGACTGAACAACTAATAACAAATCTCTAAGATACATAACACTATAAAAACCTTGCCGAGCATGTTGGGACATGCCTTTAAACCCAACACTTGAGAAGCAGGAAAAAGACAGACCCTGTGAGGCTAGCCTAATCTACATAGTAAGTTCAGGCCAGCTAGGGCTATAGAGTGAGAACCAGTCTCAAAAACTAAATAAAAAATAAATAAGCTAATGCAAACTACTGTTCTGGGTAGGATTATGTAGTAAAACACACCAACATTTGTTCCATGGGCCAGTGTCTTAAACTGGTTCGTTGACCATTTGATCAATTTTCATTTTCCCAATCATAGAAAGTTTTTATGAGTATAAGTTAAATAAAAAGTATAAGTTAAATAAGTATGTTATATTTAAATATAATACAAGGTGTTTAAAAAGTAGCATCATTCTATTTAAAAAAAAACACTTTTTTTTTTCTCAAATCATTGACTAGAATTTTATGTCTAGTAATACAAAATGACACTTTGACACTGGCCCTTACTGTTCCAGGATAATAATGCCACCTATATAAATCTGTCTACATATTTGTTTACTCTGGCCAGCCTATCCTGAAGTGACAGGGAAAAAAAATATATCTTTGTTCGAAGATTGTTTCTTTCAGGTCAAGTCCTATGAAGAGTAACTGCTGTTGACCTGTCAATTCTGAGCTGTTGAAACCATTTCAAAAAATAACAGTGACTGTAAAACAACCAAGCCAATTATCTTAGTATTCATAGGTGGAAAGCAGTATATATTTTAGGGTTGTTTGTAAATAAACCTTAAGATTCGTCCAAGGAAAAGTTTGCTGAACTAGTGAGTGAAGTTTTGAGCCAAAGCTGACACCTTAACCTGTTACCTACTTGAGATGGTTTGAATGAAAATGGTTCCCACAGGCTCCTATATTGAATGCTTGGTCCCACTGAACTGTTTTCCAGAAGGAATAGATGGTGTGGCCTTTTTAGAGGAGATGTGTCAGTGGGGGATGGGATTTGGAGGGTTCAAAAGTCAGTGCCATTCCCAGTCTCTCTCCCTCTTTGCCTCCAACTTGTGGGTACAATATAAGCCCTCGGCTACTGCTCCAGCGACTTGTGTGTGTGTTTATCCTGTGATTTGAAACGTTCACATTTAGTTTCTGAGTCTATTCTGAATAACTGTGGCAATCAAGTGAAGAAAGTCCAGGAGATACAGGGTTTGCAGAAACTATTTGTTTTTATGATCTGCTGTTTGCCCTGCTCTGTCTGGAAGACTCAGCGAATACAATTCCCATTACATTTTAAGCTAGAGTAATCTCACTGTAGTTTACTTCTTGGATGTTTTTAATAGGCTTGGGAGATACAAATCCAAATTTCATCCTCTAAAACATATCCTCTCCTCTGGAGAGGATTCCTGTCTTCTCCTCTAAACATTGACTCTCCCTGCTCTCACAAAATAAAATCTTTTCATTTTCCTATTTAAATTCCACTCTTTAAAAAAAGAAGGAAAAAAACTGTCCTTTCCCTGCCAAATTCTCAAATGGGTCCATTTGTGTTGCTATAACAATACTGGATAATTTATTGTTTTAAGCTTTTTAAAAATAGTTCTGGATGCCAAAGAGTCAAGGATATGGTGCCAGTGTGTGACAGAGGCCTCAGTGCTGCACCCTAACATGGCAGAAGGACAAGAGAATATAGGAGGAGACAGAGGAAAACAAAAACAAAAACAGGACTAAATTCTCCTTAATTAAAAACCAGTAACTTACTTCTTCTATAACTAACCTACTTCAATGAAAATAGCCCTAAGGGCCTCTGTTCCTATCTCTTAATACTGAGACAGTGGCAATTAAATTTCAACATGGGTTTTAGAAGAGACATTTGACCACCAGTGGGTTAAATATCACTGCCTTCCTCATCACCCACTCATTTCATACCCCCTAATTTTGGGTTGATTCCTCTACTGACTTGTATTTTTGAAATGCAAAAGGCTGAAATTTTTGTGTAGTTATCAGCTAAAGCGTAAAGTCTGCCAGCTTTATTTATTCTAAATTCTTTCTAGAATGATTCACCTACCACCCTTTCCTCGGGACTTCCCTGCTTTCCCATTGCTGCATCTTAATTTGTTCATCTTCCCCCAGGAACTAGAATGATAGGGCATCATCTTTTTCCCCATACCTATTTAAAATCTTTCTCCTGCCTTTTTATATTTTTCATTTGTTACTCATTTATAATTTAGATTGGGACTCATTTAGCCCAAGCTGGCTTTGAACACGCTAACTACTGAGGAGGATCTTGAGCTCCTTAGTGGTGTGGGCCATGACTTCCAGTTTATGTGGTACTGGGAATGAATTCCAGGGCTTTGTACATGACGAGCAATGAGGTGTTTGAATGAGAATGGTTCACGCGTTTAAATACTTTGCCCCTATCGTTGGTTGTTTCTGTTTGTTTGTTTGTTTGTTTGTTTGCTTTTCCAGGGACAAGGTTTCTTTGTGTAGCCTTGAATGTCTTGGACTTTTGTTGTAGACCAGGCTGACCTCAAATGCACAGAAATCCACCTGCCTCTGACTCCCAGAGTGCTGGGATTAAATGTGTGAGCCACCACAATCATCGACTTCACTGTTTGGGAAGGATTAAGAAATGACACTTTAGCTGGGGGTGGTGTCGGGAGTTTGTAATTCCACTGCTTGGGGATGCAGAAATAGGCGGATCTCTGTGAATTTAAGGCAAGCCTTGTATAAAAAGCAAGTCCAGGACAGCCA